ACCCCTACCGTTAACCCCCACCACCCTAACCCCCACCACCCCAACCCCCACCACCCTCTCCACTCAACGGTGCACCAGGACGGGCTATCCGCCAACGTGCCGGTCGCTGCACATCCGCTATCTCGACATCTCAACTGTCATCGCCACCACTGGTCGCGTCAGACGTCGCCTGCCTGCCCTTACCGCCCTCCACCTCCGCGATTGCAATCTCCGCTCGCTCGACCAGCTCGTTGCGCTTGCGCCGTTTGCGCTGCGGCATTTAGCGGTTGGCGATAGCGAGCCCGTCGCGGGCATTTCGTTTTGGAAACTTTACGCAATCAATCGCCTCACGGGGCTGAAATCCCTAAATGGCGAAACAATTGGGCTGGCGGAACGATCCAAGGCAGAGCGCGCATTTGCCGCTCTCAACACATTCTGCAGACAGGTGTGTATGTGTGTATGTGTGTGTGTGTGTGTGCGTCTTCGGTTCTTCGTGCACTGAAGCAACAACAACTCTGTCGTTTTCTTTCTTTGCAGATTCCCACACCTGTTGCCCTTTCATCACCGCGGTTTCCAGTAGCCATCGATCAACAAGGTGCTCACATCTACACATGTTAACGGCGCACACTGTGTACTCGTTATGCGCACGTACAGTGTCTTCGACTGCCACATCTCCCCCTCCCCTTTCACTCACTCACTAACTCACTCACTCACTCACTGACACTCTCAGACATTGAGCGCTTTGGTGATCGGTTTCAAGCACATGTGCGCATGCTCGCTGCGACAGCAACAGCACACACGTCATCATCATCATCAGCAGCAGCAGCAGCAACAACGGCGTCAACCAGTGGTGGTGGCCGCCGCGCGCTGAGCAGACAGCAATCATCAGCGTCAACAACAGGCGGCACCGCAATAGCCAGCCTTGCTGCCATTGGCCAGCGCACCTCTGGGTATGCTGCAACGCCGTCGTCTTTGCTTGCAGGCACAACGTCCAGCCACGCCCACTCTGGTGGTTCCGTGTCGTCCATATCGTCATCAACAGCAGCAACAACAGGCGTGCTTGCGAGCGGTGGGACGAGTGGTGGCAGCAGTGGTAGCGGTGGTGGTGGTGGTGGCAACGGGGTGCTGAGTGCAAGCGTCATGCGAGCCCTGCGTGATGTGCAGCGTGGTGTTCGCACGAGTGTCAAGGCTGTTGTTAACCAGGCAGTTGATGATTGCCAATTAGAGGCCAGGATTCGACGCGAATTCCAGCAGCAGCGGCAGCAGCAGATGCGGCAGTCGTCATCATCATCATCATCGCTGTCGTCGTAGCTTCCAAGTGTGTGTGTGTGTGTGTCTGTGTATCTGTATGTCTGTGTGTCTGCGTGTCTTGTGTGGTGTGGTCTTGGCATTACATCTGCTCGCTTGCTCGCCAACAAGCAGAACAAGGCTCATCCATAATAAACATCCCAGTTTCGCTGTGAAATGTATTTTTGGCGCGTTTTGGAGTGATTGGCTGTTTCTTCGTGAGACAGGACACAGAACGCGTGCACATGTGTGCACGCCTTCAACGACAAAAGTTGACAGCAAAGACAAGCAGGGGCACAAGCAAACGGCTTGTGAACAAGCAAGCGACAGGCACAAACGCACGCGCACGCACGTGCACACATGGCAAAGGTATGGCGCACTGGGATACACGCACGCCACCCACAAGCAATGCACACACATGCACACGCACGCACACAGGTACAGACAAAAGGCGGAACAATGCAGTTGCTTCTAAAAAAGGTAAGAGAACGCCACAATGTGCAACGCAGCGCGCTCGCAAGCTGACACACATGCGCGCGCGCACACAATACAACAAAGAGTCAAACACACACGCACACGCACGCAACAGGGAGCAACTTCCTAACGTAAAACGAATCAGTGTGACAGACAAACATGTGGGAGCAGGATGGACTGACGGATGGACACAGGTGGATGACACACACACACACACACACACACACACACACACACACACACACACACACACCACAAAGGCGTGTGGGGTGCATCATTTGAGCCGACATTATGTGTGGAAGACGTGCGGCCAGCGGGGGAAACGCAACAAAATGGCAAACACGCGTACGTGGTGATACAAACAAATGGGGAAACAAGGCTGGTTATAAAACGGGACACAGACAACACGCAAGGTTGAGATGAGAGCAGGGGTCTGGTGAGGGTAGAGTGGTGGTAAAGGTGGAGCGGTGGTAAAGGCGGTAGTCGTGGTTAAGGTGGTAGTTGTCGAAAAAGTGGTAGTGGTGGTCATCGTGGTAGCAGTTGTTGGATGGTTGAGTTGACGTGAAACTGTAACACATCAAAACCGTTCCCACCACAGACAGTGGACAGACAGCAGCTACAATGCACAACGGATGTACACCCTCGCCATCGCTGCCAATGGAGGAAGGAGACGGGTCGAGGCGATGGTGGTGCTTGATAGTTTGGGTGCGTGGCAGGGTGGCGGAGAGAAGGGCAGCCTTGGGCTGGGCGCTGGCCTTTTGGTGTTTGAGAGTTGGGAGGTGGTGGGGAGTGGCGAGTGAGGGGGGGGGGAGGAGGATTTACTTGCCCTTCTTCTTGTCCTCCTCGGCCTTCTTGGCGTAGATCATCGCCGTGTATGCACTGGGAATACAGAGCAGAGGAGAAGATGGTGGCGGTGAGTGGCTTGAGCAGGTGTTGGGTGGCAGCGGTGGGCGGAGGGATCATGTATGTGTGCACAGCCTTGCATGTGCACGACATCCACATGCATGCACACACGCAAGCACACAAACACATGCACACACAAGCACACAAACACGCACGCAAGCACACAAACACATGCACACACAAGCACACAAACACATGCACACACAAGCACACAAACACGCACGCAAGCACACAAACACATGCACACGCAAGCACACAAACGCATGCACACGCAAGCACACCAACACATGCACACGCACCTAAGCACACACACACACGCACACACATTCACACACAATCACACAGCGGACTCACTCCTCGTAGTAGCCAAAGACAATGTAGACGACGTAGGAGAAGGCGGCAAGGACAATGCCGATTGGGCTCTGGAAGAAGTAGATGGCCTTGGCGAGGTACAGCAGCGACGAGCCGAGGAACATGGGGTGGTCGCACACGTTGAAGGGAAAGGAGGTCACTCGTGCAGGGAGAAGGAAGCCAAAGTAGTCACCTGCAAGGAAAGAGAGAATAAGAGAGAGACGAGAAGCGCACGTGTCAATGGGCACACAAGGGCAAGACGTGGAAATAGTATCAGCAGTGGTTGTTGTCTGGCCACATGCACACGCGCACCTGCGTGGGCTTTGCACTCTAACATGAAACACTTCACACACGCACATGTACAAATGCGCACATAAAAACACACCCACGCACGCACACACACATGTACATACATGCGCACGCGCACACGCACACACGCACATGCGCACATAAACACACACCCACGCACGCACACACACACACACATGTACATACATGCGCACATGCACACGCACACACTACAGCAGCACGACACAGCAGACTCACCCATGTAAGTGTTGCGCCAGCCGAGGTGGTAGAAGG